AATCTGAAAGATACTACCCGAGACTCACCAGGGAGGCCATCGAAATATTTAAACACCAAAACAATTTCAACAGAAAAGAAGAAATTACGGCACTCAATCCAGATTGGAAGCGCGTTTTGCGCCAAACAGCATGTGCGCCGAAGCGTTGGAACCCCCACCCATCCCCCACGCATGAGCACACACGGCTGGGCGGCATAAACACGACTGGGAATCCAGCAGTTGAATCATTCTTAGTCGGAAAGCACGGGAGATCACTTCGCCCACTGTCTCATCGCCTTTGAAAATGTCCACCGCAGTTGTGGACGAAACGTCAGGAAGAAATTCCGATAGACCACGGCTTCAAAGCCCGGAAAACATTTCTAAATGTAATCTGACCGGCCGTGAAAGCCTTCATAGTCTTAACTGTTGTTTTTGACTAAAACAAAAGAGAGAGCTCCGTCCTGGCGTCCTTTAATTATAGAGAATCTTTCAAATTGAGTAATTAAGTATTGTAAGTCCGAGGACAATTTTTTTATAGTTCAAAGTATGATTGGGCATTCAAATAATTAAACTTATAAAAAATAATTGTGAGGAAGATAGGTAATTTAATTACATACGACGAAGAAGATCTGCAAATCCATCCGCCCTTTCTTGACGATACGACATATTTGGAAATTTTAATCGCAGTTCCAAAGCAGGAAAACTACTTAATCTACATTTATTTTCATATCGACTTGCATAGTGTTCTACTACCAGAAGCGATGTAGAACCCGAATGAAAATTCCACGTGTCCATGAATGAAGACATAAAGAAAAATTAGCATTATCTTAAATGGAAATACCAAGCTTCAGGTATGATTTCCGTTCAAAATTAATTAATTCAATTTACAGTTGATTTCTATGTAACTGATATTAACTTATAATTCGTTTAATTCGTATATATCAATTTTCAATATAGATTTTTTCAAACTGATTGCGTACAAGATAGTTAGAAACAAAGGTAGATAAGCAGGTATATGCAAATAATATCAAACCATCCATACAATAGATAGCTAGAATCCATCATTCTTCAAGACCATCCATAAATGTGTTAAAAACAGGTTTATGAAAGTTAACAAATTCAAGTTATTCAAAATATGTGGAATTGGTAACGTTTTTTCAAACATTTTGTACAACGTTGCAGTTGTAAGTAGGTGTACATAGCTGCTTTTAGTCGTTCAGTAACATTTTATCTTTCGAATATTGAAAATGTTCACAATGTGTTGGCAAGTTTTTGGCTTGCTTGCTAATTTCGGTTCAACCTCGGTACCAATTTATCATTACATGCTGAAACCAGAGACACATTCTCTTCATTTTTTCAATGGATTAATGTTACTACAGAACTTTAAATATTTAATGATCCAGTTTATAATGTAGGAACGCATTGAAATTAACCACTGTCCAAGACAAGGCGTACCATTTTACTTGCTGTTGTGTTCCAATTGGCCATAATCAGCCATGCATAATAACAAGAATCTCACTGACGTCGGCCAGAAACACTGAAAACATACTGTTTAGTGCCAATAACTGGGAAGCCGCAGCCGAATCTGATCTTCAGATCGGTATGATAATAGCCAGGTATGGAGTACGCATGCATATAGGTACGTTTCACCCTCAGGCTGATTTTCTGGAAACAAATGCAAATTTGCATTTGCTAATTTTAGGCGAAATCGTACCGGTATAGTATTCGCGAAAATCTGCTTCGACGATACAAACAACCCATTATTAACGCCATTTATCATGCATTTTTACGTGACATTTTTAACTACCCAACTTCAATGTGCTATAATTATATTTCTTCTAGTGCAAAGAAAAAGAAGACAGATAAATCTCGAGGTTTGAACACATTTTCCTGATGTCAAATTAATCGAAGATCTTTTACTAAGCCAATTAGCGCCCTTGGCTTGAACAAACTCCGGTGAGAACCAGCAGTTAACGCGATACTACTAATGAAAAGCTAAATAAGCTGAACAATGTTACGTTATAATGCAAAGTACACAAATCGTGGGCCGCGAGCCTGAGAACAAGCTGTCTGTTTGCAGTTACACACGAGTGCGTGGAAAAGGGTAGCGACACTGGACTATATGGAGCCATCTTCAATCTAGGGCCCCTTTTCTTCAAATGCCGACTAGAGAAATTAAATATTTAAGTTTAAGAATTAAGTAGCACTACCAATAGATAAGGATACAATAATGCAGGACAGTCAAAGGCAACACATAGATCAATTCTGCAAAAAGTGAAGCATAAAACAGATCGATTTCTATTCCATGTTTGACAAATGTTCCAAAGGATTTCGTTTATTTTCGTCATATCTAATCTCCTATTATGGTTTTATTAACCCAAGAAATAAAGTTAAACTTGTTGACTTTCCATCTAACTCAAAAAACAGAAAACAACTAACTCAATTAGTTCTATACTTTGATATGGATTGCTTATAGATTCCGCTTGAATCCCATATCCGTCAATACGTCGGTCAATATCATACCGTTATCAAAATGGAATATCATTAACTTACCATTATTTAATGCATATGAGTTAATTGCATACATTTGATAAAGATGATTTGCAATGCTACGAACCGAGCCAGTCGATTAAACGATTAGATGTAAAAATTATCATCTTACAACCTTCGTATGTCAACTTCTCTCAATAAACCTTATTAACCTAAAAAATATTAAAGTCAGAATGTGCAGAAACAAATCGTTTCAATATTACAAGACGTGTAAATGTAAAATCGAAATTTAAATACCCATGCCCCTCTAAAAATGTGAAAAATAATCTACTATCGGATTAATCTTCCCCAGTTGTTCAATAATTGATTTTCCTTATTCAAGCTGTAACCCTCGAAATTTTCATACGATAAAAATCTGGTCATCACTTAAAATCTAATTAATCTCATCATTTTCACGGACAAAACTTTCATCTTGAATAAAGATAACAAAGACAAATCACCGAAACCGTTTTAGTCGCACAACTTTAGGTCTGGCCATCAGTACGGCTGTTTGATCAGACGCGATGATAGATCGTTAGGATCAAATGATGGGCGCTTGGACACGATTAAAGGCGCCGGTGGATGTGTCTGATTGCAAGATAGAAATGTGAGGATTCAAACATTCAAAGACGTCCCATACCAATACAGGCGGTCATGTAGACTTTGGTAATCAACTAAATGTTCACACAGGTGAACGTTTTTGTAAATGAGGTTACTAAATATGGAAGCAAAATTTTGGTCATCTTCTTTCCATTGCCCAAAATATCAGGAGAGCGGGTGATGCTTATTAATAGAGTTGCTAGAACTTAATTATTAATTAAGCTCGATAATTCAAAAACCTTAATTTTTATTAGTTTTCAATTAAAACCGATACACATTGTACTACTATAATACTTATAGGTGTATCTCATTTATGAAAATTGTATACACAGAATAACAAAATGTGTACTCATTAGAGTATGCTGATAATATTCCAATCAACCAGAAAATTTTGGGATTTCATAGAATTTCTCACCACTTTCTCCCAGCACACCTGCAACCAAAATGCTTGGTTGAAATCCTATATCATATGTACCTATTCAAAGACTATCGAACCCTGCAAACAATGTGCCTACAAAAATCGAACTCACATAAGGTAATTAATGCCCAATTTCACGCGGCAACTTTTTAAAAAGATCGTTTCACAAAACGAGAAAAACCATCGCCATTCTCTCGGTGGTGACCACCCAAAAACCAATAAGAGGGGCGGCGGCACTCTACTCTGCAATTATAATCCCCACAAATTTCAGATAAATCGCCTTCTTTGTACAAACATAGTGTTCACACATATTAATGCGAACAATATGATCTATAATCAGCAAATATTATCGACCCTCATTTCAGGCAACGGTAGATTACAAGCAGTAAACTAAATGGAAATAGAATGTAAATTAATAAGTTTTAAACTCCTACCAGGGCCATAAATTACAAATTACTTCAATTTTTACTATTATACTATTTTCAAATATTATATAATAAAGAGCAAGTTTGAAACGATATTCTATTATTTATGATTTCATTCATGTGAGTTATTATTGAGTAAAAGTATATTTTTTTATTATACGTTAATATTTTTGAACATGTTATAATATTATGTTCTTGTTCTTGAATGAATGTTAATTTTTTTTGTTCAACAAAATTTTTATTTGTATTGAACTATTCAAGCCAGATAAAATTAAAATTAATTCATCAATAGAGCTTCTCTTATTTCCAATAATCGAGTATTTCTACGATCCATATACGGTAATTATACAGGGTGATATGATTGGCGTCATTCCTTTTAATGGGTCATAGGGGCTCACTTAGAGAGTACGGGAAAAATATCGAAAACATTTTTTTCGGAAAATATTTGATATTAAAAAGCAGGTAGGTACTCTTCAAGAGAGATCATATAAGTAGACGATAACATTATGCAAGCTAACAGCCCATAAAAACATTAAAATCGTGTTACTCCGCCGATTACTAGAGAGAGATCGAGTCTTATGAATGACAAACGCACAAACAAAAACATAATTTTCAAAAATGTCCAAAAAATGTGACCACCAATCCGAATCGTGGCTAGACCACCAATCCGAGTCCATTTGATGAGATAACTTCAAGCCTTTAAATTTTATTAATTTGGAGAATGCTCAGAGTATTATGGAGGGAGCCACGAAATTTCCCATAAAACGGTCTACGAAAGAATGAGGAATGAGCACTCAGACAAAATTCTGGAAATTATGAAAAGACAAAGGTCAAGTTAAGTGAGACACATTTACAGGCAGAAAATAAATTTCCCGCTGTAATGGATAGCAAGCTTGAAGGTAGAAGAAGGCCGAACAGGGAACAGGGGGCACTGCTCATGGCTGAAAAATCCAGGAGAATAAACTCGGCTAAATCAACCTTCAATAGGAGAACGGTACCTTAAGAAGAATGTTATCAAGATGGAGCTCTCATCTCTTCAAGTTAAAAAGATTCCAGCTCTTCATAGTTCATCTATTTTTTAAATTTTATCTGTAACTGTTGTTTCCACAAGGATTAGTATGTTGTGTACGATTTTGAATTCGATAATTTATAATTTAATTTAGAAATATCTTACAAAAACACCTAAGTATTAATAATTTAATAAGTGTTTTCATACAACATACATATATTAATAATAGTTGAGTATTTGTTATAACAAATAATTTAATTATTTAAAAATATAAATTTGTCTAAGCTTCATACAGGGTGTCCCACCAGAAACCGCCGCGATCGATATCTGGCAAACTATATTTAGGAAAAATTTGAAAATTGAACAGTGTGCCGAAGTCATTGGGGGCAAGCCATCTAGAATATTTTCAAGATGGCCACACTTCCGGTTATATCGGAAGTAGGTATCAACTTGCTTATTTTAAATGGAACACCATATATATTATTCATAACATTTATCAATTCTACTCAAAATTATAAATATATTTCATGTAAAACATCCTATGCCTAAGTCTAACCGTTTTTGATATACGTATTTGAAATTTTATGTGAAAAATGACAGTTGCAGCCACTCGAATAATTATTCAATTTTCCTATAGGTAAGGGAATTTATGCTACTTAATTTGAGTCGCATTTCTTGCTTGAATTGAAAACCTCCATTTTTGATAATTTTATCTTATTCAGTATTAGAAATAAGGGTAAGTTTCTGTGAAGTTGTCTATTCCAAAACTGTTTAGTTTTCGAAATATTGTCAATTTAATGTTTTATATGGCTATTTTGCCCCCATCTGATTTTAAATTCTGCAAATCCTAGTTGCCCTAACGAAGTGGCCATTTTTAATACAATTAAAGGCCAAAAGAATGCTGACAGCTGTCAGTTATCTTTAATTAATTCGCATGCCCGGACGCTTAAATGATACAAACGAAGATTATTTAAACTTCTTTATTATTTATGGAGAAGGTGATAAAGTTTCATCAAGAACATTTGACCCATTTGCCATTCGATATCCACAAAAACAGGTGCTTTCATGCTGTGATGTTAAACAAATTATAAAAATTTCATGAATTTTGAATAGAACTAAATAACAGTGCATATTCAATTTATAAGGGCAACCAGAAAAATTAGAGCTCTAGATTTCAAAAAAAACTGGTTTTTCTTCCTGATATTATAGTAATAAATAATACATAAACGGTTCTTGATATAACTTTATTACATTCCCCATAAATAATAAATAAGTTTCAATAAACTTCGTTTGTATAATTTAAGCGTTCGGGCAAGATTATTAAATATTTAAAAAAAGTAAATGACAGCTGTCAGGATTTATTTGCCATTTGACTGTATTAAAAATGGCCAATTTCGTCATGCCAACTAAGATTCGTAAGATTCAAAATGAGATTAGGGCAAAACAGCCATATAAAAACATTAAATTGACCATATTTCGAAAATTAAACAATTTTGGAATAGACAACTTTACACAAACTTACCCTTATTTTTAATACTGAATAAGATAAAATTATCAAAAATGAGAGTTTCCATTTGAAAAAAATTATTTATGGCGATTTTCACAACGTCATTTTGAAACTTATTTTTTAACACTTGAGCACAACTCAAAAATATTATAATATACAGGGTGATTCAAAAATGGCGTCATTCCTCTGGAGGTGTGGCGTGAGGTCATTCTTCTGGAGTCACATTGCCGGGTTACAGGTTATAGCACGTACAATCATAATAGACAGTAGGTACATATGTATAGGGTGCTCCATTTAAAATAAGCAAGTTTATACCTACTTCCGGTATAACCCGAAGTGTTAATGCAATCATGAAAATCGCTTGCCCCCAATGACTTCGGCACACTGGACAATTTTCAAATTTCTCCTGATTATAGTTTGTCAGATATCGATCGCGGCGTTTCCCGGTGGGACACCCTGTATATTGAATGAAACAATAGTAAACCCAATTTCAAGCAAACACATCTACAATAATCTAGACGAATAAACTTCTGAGTTGAGCCACAATTTAAGAATATTCTAGTGTCCTTGAGTGATATTAGATTTAAATATTAAATCGCTTTTTCTACATTGCATGTAGAACCTATATTTGTACGAAAGGAATTGGGAAAGGACTTTTTCTCACTGTTTTACGTTTTGATAAATGTACAAAATTTTCACGATCTACAACAGGGATGAGCAACACGCGGCCACTTGCCGCCCGTTAAACATGTCTATGCGGCCCGCCAGCATTGCTAAAATTGAATTTATTTTATCGACTCCCATCAATATATTGATATAAAATTAATTATAATAAAATGGTAGTACACACTAAACCGAATCATTTTTTTGTGACGAATTACTTACTTGTCGGCGACTTGTTCAAATATGTAAAATAAACGCGCCGCGTCTGCACGACTTTTTATGACGAGACTCACTTGTCGGCGACATCTTATGCAGAATAATGTGTTTTACTTTGCACATTTATAAATCTAAAACCTTACTTCTCTCTTACTCTAAATTTCAATTTTTGATTTCAACGATTTTTGGTTTCAAACGAAAACGATTCCGAATGTTCAAAGCTGAGAAGACAGCGGTTTTGATGAAAATAGTTCATCGGCCCTTTAATATCGATGTGGATACAGTTGCCGAAGACTTTCAAATTGAAGTGAT